GCTGTGCGAGCGCGAGCGGAGCCCGGTGCCGCGCTTCGTGCAGCAGTGCATCCGCACCATCGAGGCACGCGGTATGCGCGGCGGGCTGGGCCGGGCCTCCTGCCAGGGTTGCAGGATGGAGACCCCGGGGTGGGCGCAGGGTTGAGCGGGGAAAGAAGAGGAGGCCCTGAGTAGGAATCCCAGCAGGGGCTTCAGCCCCACCCCACCCAACCGGAGTCCGCGCCTCCGTCTGCCCCAGGGCTGGACATCGACGGGCTGTACCGCATCAGTGGAAACCTGGCCACTATCCAGAAGTTGCGCTATAAGGTGGACCACGGTGAGGCCAGTCCCCATCCCTGCCCCGGGGCCTGAAGGTACGAAGGGGCACTGACCTCTTCCCTTCCTCCACTGCAGATGAGCGCCTCGACCTGGACGACGGACGCTGGGAGGACGTGCACGTTATCACCGGCGCGCTGAAGCTCTTCTTTCGGGAGCTGCCTGAGCCCCTTTTCCCCTTCTCACACTTCGGCCCATTCATCGCGGCCGTCAGTGAGCACGTGGGGGAGGTGGGGTGGATGGGGCAGGGGTAGAAGTGTCCTGTGTCGGGCCACCCCCTTGGCCAGGCTCTGTGCCACCATGCTTGCTCAGCCTGCTCCCCTCGCAACTCCCTCACTCGCTCCCTCCGACCCTTCCCTTGTGCAGAGTTGCAGGACCAGGCCCAGCGCAGCCGCTGTGTGCGTGACCTGGTGCGCTCCCTGCCGGCTCCCAACCACGACACGCTGCGGCTGCTGTTCCAGCACCTGTGCCGGTGAGCAGGGCGGGCAGGTGGGAATGGGGGGCGGGTCCTGGCAGGAACCCCCACATCTCCCCCCAGCTCTGGGCCCTGATTTCACCTGCCCCGCCGCAGGGTGATCGAGCACGGCGAGCAGAACCGCATGTCGGTACAGAGCGTGGCCATCGTGTTCGGGCCCACGGTGCTGCGGCCGGAGACAGAAGAGACCAGCATGCCCATGACCATGGTGTTCCAGAACCAGGTGGTGGAGCTCATCCTGCAGCAGTGCTCAGATATCTTCCCGCCTCACTGACTGCGGACCTGGGACTGGGGACCGCTGGAGGCCACCCAGCTGGACTTCAGGAGACCCTCCGCCTCCCACCGGTCTGCAGGCGGTTGTGACATCCGCACCCCTCGGTTCTGAGGCTATGGTGACCCCTGGTGGGCAGTTCGCAAAATGTGATTTTTCTGGGGCATGTCCTGTTTGGGGTTAATTGGGCTCTGCTTT